CCATATACCGAGATGAGTCATTTTGACTTCCACGGAAAGTAGGTTGAAAGCATAATTATTTCCCTCATTTTCCTTATTAAATTATTATTATTATCATTATCAATTTATTATACAATTTTTACTCATAAAAACGTAAAAATTACCATGTCTTTTGTTATGACTTATTACTTTGAAAAACAAGTCATTTTGATCAGTTCGGTAGAAGTACGTTAATCGCCGGTAGTTCTAGTGTTGAAATTAAAAAAAAACACGGCAGTGGGTAGAAATTGTGAGGTTTACTATACTGCGAAGATGTGAAAAGTGAAATGAAATTCGACTGATTCCGAAGAAGTATAGACGTACATTGGCTTCGCTGTTGGCGTTGGCGCCAACGTACGATTCCAATTCATTTCCGGCCTTCTTTCTCTGTCGCACGCTTTTCCTGGCGGCAACGAGGTTCTTTGTCGAAAAATAGCATCGTCATAGTCATCGCGATGGTCGTCATAGACCAGTGAGTCACTGAACGCGAAGAGGCGGTGGGTATTTAATTCGCTGAGAAAATCATCGCGAGTCATCTGCATCCTAACGATTTTTCCACGAAAGAAAATCAAGCGACGCACGTTCAAAGAATGTGTTCAACTGGTAAGAAGCGGTATCCATAACAGTCGAATCGAGAAGATAATGCGATCGAGAGCTGTAATTCTCATTATACGACAGCGTAACGAGTTAAATAATGAACGACGAAGCACAATAAATCGAGTGATCTCTACGGGTCAATGAGTAAACAACGAATCCTTTGAAATATCCATTCCTGATGCAGTGACTAAACTTCAGGTTTCATTTCTTGAAAAATTATACATGCAGAAAACGTAAAGACAAAATTCACTAGAATATTAAAATTTTAATGCACGTCATTATTCTTGTAAGAGAAATTTCAATACAGATTATTTGACATAAAAATCCGCAGTCTAGAAATGTATTTTCTTAATAATATTCTCAAGTCTTTTATTCGACTCTCTAATAGAAATTTGAAACTAAGTTCGTTAAGCCCAATAGGAAAGTGGTCGAAGAGTATCATTCGAAGTATCTACGAATATGTATGGATTTCACTGTATTTGTCTACTCGAGACTAAAATAAAAGCTACCCCAGTTCGGTGTCTATAAATATAATTTTTTTTGTGAAGATGAGAAGATCGTATGGCTCGAGACAAATAATGGCACAGCGGGCCATTGTGCATTTTATTAATACTATTTTTAGGTACAGGAACAGAGGTAACTATTCTTAGTCGTAATAATCTTCCTTCCACGAAATGTTATATAAATCGTAAACAATGAATAAAGCAGTAAATTAGAACTCGGGTAATGATCACATGTGAAAGAGATTGCTTCAAATGATGAAACTGACTGAGCATGTTGATCCAAAGTACTACACATGGGCCCGTGCGCGCGATCAACAACAATGTGATCTATCGGTATTGACCTACATACATATGCACTGACTACTGATCTTCATCTTCGTATACTTCGTTATTTCAAATCCTGCGAGCGATTGAAATTATAATATACTAGTTTGTAGAGAAACGAGTGAACCTTTCATTCAGTTTAACATTCGTAATTAACGTTTGGTTTTTGACCCGAATTTGACCAAATAAGAATTAAAATTACTTAATTAGAATTCTAAGAAATTCGAATTGTCTATTGAATTTTATTCTTAATTAAAGATTGACTTTTAGAGAAATTTGCTTTTTGTTATTGTTCGAAATTATTTTTATGATGCTAAAGGAGTTTGCTGTTGTAACCCCGAAAGGAGAAGCACTTAAGGCTTCACTATTACAAACACTACGTATTTTTAATAAATAATACAACGAAATAATCCGATTGTATGTACAGATTCAGATGTTACTGACACGACAACGAGCTGCAGTAGTAACCGCAATGACGCAGTATGTAGCTAGATCGACCTCAGAATCAGTATGTACACTACGTACCTACAGATAGACAGATTCTACAGGGTGTACCGTTCAATGAAGAATTTATCGATGCTACTCGCGATTGCGATCCAACTCTCATTGGCCGTCAGATAGTCTGTTTTCAGAGAAAATGATCACGCGACTGATCGATTCACAGAAACTGAATGTTTATAGAGTTTCATAATCCGGCGTGAATTAACGACGCGGCCCTTCCGGAAAAAACAGCTGATCTATGATCTCTCCAGAAATGATTCATCGTAGTAGATCTGGAAATACGTTCGATCGTCGTAATCAGTAAAAATTCCTTGAATGTCGACAGCCCGACGCGAAAACATGCTGATACGTACTGCGATCACGCATTGAAATTAGAGATCGTATTTCTCGAGAATCTTTAAAAGACGTTTCGAAAATAAAAATGAACGTACCAGCGAAAAAACATTATACAAATGATTATAATTAGATCGAGGATTTTCGTGTATTTATATAAAACGTATACCGACTTTTGATCTCTTCTCACGTGATTATAATTAGATTCCAGTTTTTTATGCATTTATAAAAGATACACAAAGTGTATTGACTTTTGATCAGTGCTCATACGATTATGATTATGAATAGAATGCAGATTTTTATTCATTTACAAAAGATACAAAAAGTTTACTGTATTTTAATTAATATACAAGGCCATGATATTTAATTTATAAATGAATTTCTGAATTTCATTCCTTAATTCTGTGTACTAAGTATTTTATTTTCTATACAGTCTCTGATTATGATATATGTATTTATTTTCTTATTAACAGTCATTTTAACGATAAAGTTCATTTCTGAAGGTATGCATGTTAACTACGAAACTGTGTTGCATGATTCCACAATAAGTAGTAAAAAAAACTAAATTATATAAATTAGTAGTTTTTAAATATGTTATTTAACTTAAAGTTACCTAACTTTAGTTAACTTAGTTTACCTTAACTTAGTTAACCTGACTGATTCTGTGAAAGAATACAAGAATATTTTCAACTTTGCTAATAATATGTGTATACGAAGGACATCCTTCTCAACACGTTTAGCACTAATGCACATGATAACTTTTTTCTTTTTTTACAAAGTACGAAGTTTATTACATAAATCTGTACTGAATACGATTAGAACAAAGTTTGTTATCCGGCCAGACTAAACAAGCTTGGAAGGCAAATATTATGTAACCTATGCGTAATTATTTCTGAAGTACAGGAAGGAAATTGTAGAATTGCAAAGGTTTCCATGGGAATTCCGAACAAGACGACTTCGTAAATAACCAGCCAGTTATAAGCGAGTGTGTGTGTGCTCGGCTCGCGAGCAAACAAGTTTTTTGCAAATCATTCGCTACATTATTGCAGTTCGCTCGTATCTAGCAGAATACCGTGACAATGACTATCGTAAGCAAGGTCGGGCCGGTTTCTAGGCGAAAGAAACGATCGGGGAAATCGGCTGCGGTCCCACGGGGAGAGGGACAGAGAAAGAGAGGCGGGGTATAGGCCGTGCGAGGCCGTCAGATTAATGCAGCCAAGAAAGAATTAATCGATTCCCCGGTTCGAATAATCGGCATGTCGATAATATTGCACTTTATTCACGATCATGATCGCGACATACCGTGAGCACGACCTCGAAAATCCTCGACCGCAAATCAGATTTCAATCGACAGCGCTACGTGAAAGTATAACGCGGTACCGCGATCTTTCCTCGCGGACTCTCACGTCCTTTTTTACGCTCGATGCGAACTTTAGAAGGAGTTCACGTGAAATCGTACACAGGATAAAAAATAATTACACTTAGACGTTTCCCTGCGGCGAGCGACGCGTATACGTCGAGGCTGAACGAGTCGGGGATAAAAAGTAAGGAACGATGTACTTGGATTTTGCGAATAAACGTCACGGCTATCGGACGAAAATATTTGTCCGCGCAGACGATATAGATAGAGGCCTGCGGCTAACTTTCAAAATATCTTTGTCTCGGTCGCGAAACAGACACACGCGTACGCGTGTACGTGTACGTACGTATGTACGCGCGTACTTAGAGCCTTGTGCGACATGTGCTTTCATCGATGTCGTAAATGCGCGAATCTTATCAATTGACCGCGAAATTTACGCACGATAATACTTTGTTTTGCAGCCAGTCGGCCGGATCCTGAACCCCCCGCTGCTGTTTGCGCAGTGGCAGCTGCGAGGAACGAATGATGCGACGATCGTTTAACAAATTGCCAGCCATAAATCTTAGTGAACGCTCCTTCCTGGACCGAACGGGGTACCACCGTCGTCCTCTCGTTCAATTCTACGTATCGTTCACGCTCTCCCTGATAGCAGCGTCGGCCTAATTTTTGTATCTTCTAATCTGGCATGTATGCACCGCGCGTACTTACTTCATCACGTCGAAACGTTGTCCACGATCCCCGACGAATTGGCCTCGGCTTATTTTCACTCGAGGAAACCCATTAACCAGTTAAGAACACTTTGTATGACACAACATGCCTCTTATATATTTATTTCATGTATGTACGTGCGCACGGGCACACGTTCACTACTTTGTCCCCGCGACGCGCAAACAGAACGTGCGGTACAATGGAAGTCCGTATATTGCGTTATCATGCGCGTCGAGCGTTAGATTCCCAGCGTCGATCGTTCACAGAATTTCACCTATCCACCGTATACCGAAAGCTGTTCTGTCCCGGTTTTATCTAATCACTCCAGCGGTTCGCATCGTTCAGTCCTTTTTCTAGGTCACACGGTATTACATAAAGCTGCTCGTTCGACTTGGACGTCGTCTCCTCGAACCCGCGAGCACCATGAAGGGAAGCTCGTTTTTCAGCAAATAATCACAGAAAAATCGAACGTTTGTCCATTTGATGTTTCGACGTCACGACGTCGAATTTGACTGACACGCGCGTTGGTAACGCGTCCCATCGAATCGCATCGATCTACTCAGCTCGTTTTGGTGCAGTTATGTTAACTGATAAAAACAGGAAGACCGTGGAAACATGCGCGTGGACCGACTGAACACCACACACCCACGTAGACCGCGCGGCTGTTGGCGCGACACTGAAGACAACTGCGTATCGGATCGGTCCCAACGCGCGGCGCAGCGCTGCGCCGCGCCGCGAAGATCAAAGCGGAACGCGCGATGAATCGCGCAGTCGCATGATCGCCGAAGACTAATTGCGAGCCTGTTTACCGCCAGAATTAGATAAAACGACGAGAGAGCCATGGACTGCGTGTTACTAGTCGACTTGTCCGTCCAAGCTATTTTTCTGTCTGTTGTCTGCACGGAGTCTGACGTCCCATTACAATTTTCACGTCGCGTACAACGTTATCAACAGATTACGGAAAGCAATCAGTATAGTAGGAAATGCAGTAATACATTGTAAACAGATTCTGATTAATAAATGACTGAAAACGAATTTTGGCATTCTTATTTGATGATCCTTAACCAAATGATCAATCTTGGGAGTGACTAGTCAGAGGTCACTCGCTTTAAAGTCACCCGAGTGACTATGGATGATTATTGGAAATGGCCAAATTCTGACTAATAAATTAATAGATACGAATCTTAGAATTTTTATTTCGCGATCCTTAACCAAATGACCGAATGACCAATCCTAGGGGTGGGTACTTAAAGTCAGTGGTCAACTGGTCACTCAACTCACTCCCTTTGGAATGACCCAAAAATTTCTGCCCGATTATCGATAAATGCGGGAGGAAACGAATATGCAAATCAGGAGCCGAGCCTTCTCTTGAATCGGCCAATCGTTTTGCGCAAGCGTCATTTTGTCCAATCCGTCGATCCCCGAGAGGGTATAAGTACAGAGCCCCGACGCTCCTCGAGTCACTCGATCTCACTTCCGGTTGGACGTTCGTCGCGTGCGGACCTCGGAGCGATCTTTCGAGACGGTGTTAGGTGCTTTTGCTGTATAAAAAATAAATTTATAAATTTATGTTATAAGCTTTAGAGCCGTGAGTTCTGAAAACGACATAAAAGAAAATTCAGGCAAGGCTGGCCGTGGCTTAAAGCGACACATGGTCGCTCCCACGTGGCAATCCTTCGCTGCTTGTGATGTGAATGCTTCTGATACAGAGCTTAATAATAATATAGGCATTGCGAGTCTTAATTTAGAAAAGGAATCGTGTGAGGTGGCTGGCCTTGAGGCTGCTGCAATAGAGGGAAATCAGGTAAGTGCTTTTGATTACTCAGGCGACTGCGCTTCGAAATTCCATTGTACTTCCGTGTACAACAGAAATATTAAGTCGCGTCCGGTATCACCTCAGTTAGGGCTTGACTCCTCAGACTCTTCGGCATCAGGTTACTCCCAGCCGAAGAAGAGAATCATTAGATTAAATAATGTGCCGGCGGAGAGGTTGGTTAACCTAGAAAATAACCTGAAAAGTTCTGTACTTAGTACTAGTAAAAATAATTCTGCTGACATGAATGCCATGGAAGTTATTCCAAATGTTAAAACATTTAATAGGTTTGACATTTTGTCTAATGCGTTCAGTGCGAACATCGAACTACAGGTTCAAGAAAATAAAGAAACCCAACCTAGAACTGATGAACATACGGGTAGTAGATATGCGGATCCCCTGAAAGTAAATTTGGGAGAGGCGGAACGTAAGCTGTCGGCAAAAGTGCCGCCTATTTACATATCAAATTTTAAATGCTCAGCTAAGATCTTTGAGAAGCAATTAGTCGAGTTATGCGGGAAAACCTTTAGATTAAAATTATTAAAAGAGGGTATTAGAATTCAATTTTCAAACCCAGATGCCCATAAAAAAATGATAGAATTCCTGAGAACGCATAATCACTCGTTCTATACGTTCTCAAATAGTAATGAGAAGACGCTCAGCGCTGTACTTAAGGGTTTACCAGACACTCCAGTCGATGAAGTCCTCCTTGAACTTCGAAGTTCTGGCCTCTCTCCAATCAACGGCTCACTTATAGGAAAATCAAAAAGCAAACCGGCTTACCGTATAAATTTCCCACCAGGAACTAATCTGAGTCATTTAAACAAAGTCGGTTATTTATTTAGTATTAGAGTATACTGGGAGAGATACTTCTCAAACAGGAAACACACGCAATGCTATAGGTGCCAATCCTTTGGACACTCGGCGACAAATTGCAACAGACCCCCAAAATGTGTGAAATGTGGGGAGAGCCATCATTCGTCGGCATGTGTGAAAACGGTTGAGCTGCCCCCAAAATGCGCCAACTGTGGGGGTGAGCACACGGCAAACTACTCAAAATGCCCAGCGCTTCTAAACTACTTAAGTGCTAGAGAAAGCTCGCATAAAAAGGATAGGGCTTTCAGTAATGCTGATGAAATTCAGCACACCCCTTTCAGTGCCTTTCCGCAGATAGGCGTAAATCATAAAAACTCTCAGAGACAGGTGGGCCCAAAAAATCTAACGTTTCAAACTGGTAAGTCATATGCTGACACGTTAAAGGGAGTTTCTCCTAACAAAACCAAGGAGTCCCCAAATCTCCCAGAGCAGGAAGATATAACAGAACTATTTAATGAATTTAAAACACTGGGAGATCTTGTTAATATCAAACTTATGCTTAACACGGTTAAATTGTTAAATTCCAGACTAAGGTCTTGCAGAACTAATGGTGAAAAGTTCCAAGCATTCATGCTTACCGTAAACTCCCTTGAGTAATAATCTACAATGGCTTCTTTTCCTAAAATAATACTATGGAATATCAGATCTTTTATAAAAAAACAGAAACGAACTCATTTATCTTATTACTAAAGAACAACCCGACATCATTTTGCTCACGGAAACTTTGTTATCTCTAAATGACACCGTCAGTATACCAAATTTTAAAATAATACGGAAGGACAGAGTCACTGGTAGGGGTGGAGGAGTGGCCATTTTGGTACAAAACCAAGTAGCGCACAGAGAAATTCACACCAATTGCATCAATGGTATGGAACATTGCTTTATTAAACTGGTGGACCCTAAAGCATATATTGGGGTTGCTTATGTCCCGCCTGGTGTTAAGTTGACTACTTCCATCTTAGATATCCTGAATGGCACGGGCTCCCCATTCTTGATAGGTGGGGACCTAAACGCCAAACATAAAGCATGGAATAACTTTGTTGGAAACCACAGTGGGAATGTTTTGTTTAGCCATTGTGAAAATAACACTTATGACATAATCTACCCAGATGACTTTACACGTTTCCAACCGGGTAGCAGGCCATCCACTATTGATTTATTTCTTTCTTCAATAAATCATAATTTTAACTGCGAAACAAGGGACCAGGGTCCTTCGGACCATACTCCAGTGGTTTTAACGGCTGCTAAAGAAAATACAAACGTGGGCATAGAGCGCACTATTGACTGGAGGGCATACCGATCACTTACAGAGGGGATAAACCTGAGAACTGGTTTTCTTAACACAACGGATATAGATGAGGAAATAACAAAAGTCTCCCGAGTGATGCTTACTGCTGTCAAGGCTGCAACTATAAAGGT